ACACACACACACACACACACACACACACACACACACACACAGAGTAACCTGGAAGTCAACGTCAGCAGGAATGCTCCTCTGAGCTTGTGTTTCTGTGTGAGGGCCACTCCCTGTTTGGGAGATACTCTTTGCAACTCTGGCAAGAGACTGAGCTAAAACCCCAGCAGCTCAAAAGAAACAACCACACCACCATGTAAATACAAACACACACACACACACACACACACACACACATGCACACACAAACACACACATATGAGCGTCTTTTAGCTTTCCATGTATCTGTGCCAGTTTCCTAGCTGGCTGAGAAGGTTAAGTCTCTAAAGATGAGGAGAATATTTTCCACCCTCTGTTGACAGGCTCTCATATTCTGACAGGTTTATATTAAACTATGTTATTTATATCTCGCTGCTGATATTAATAGTCAAACATGAGGGGCAACTTTGGCCTCAGCTGTGATGGCAGGCTGGCAAAATGTCACTGAAAGCCCATGGGGTTAATAATTAGATACTTTTATGTAGAAGGAAATAAAAACTGTTTTATTATTTAGTTGCCCTTTTTCTTGAACCTTAAGAAACATTGTGTTTGTTAACATTTATACTCTACTTGAGCAAAAGACATGGATAAAATCACAARGAGGTTGGTGAAATCTGGTGTGTGAGTGTGTGAAGTCTGGGTGTTATTTTGAATAATTGTTCAAAAAGCCCTGTTGTAAGAAAACCGCAAAACAAAAGCATTATGAGTAATTATAAGTGTCTGTCCTGCAGGTCAGCAGACTTTGTCAGAACCTGAGTCAAKCTTGTTGGACAGGTTACACCGAGACATCCGTTTAGCAAAGATTGAAAACACGTGTGTGTGTGTCAGAATCAATGAGCTACCTTTCAAGCCATAATGAAACTAGTTAATCAGATGAAAAAATAGTACAAGATAAAATGACTGACACTTAAAAAAGACATTGAACGTACACTTTCCCGCACTGCTTGAAAACATTTTGAGCACTAAAGTAGTTGAAACMAACTACTCATAAGTACATACAATTCAATTAAAACCTTTAAAAAAAGCAATGTGTTTAAATAATTAACATTTTTACATTTAATATTTGCACTTTTTTCACCTAATGTCATTAAGACTAATAATTTTTGTCATTTGACTGGTTATCAATATCATTGATACTAATATTTTTGTTGGGTTCATCAGTGTTTTGTATTTCTTGATGTGACACGTTGCTTGATATGACATGACTTCTTAACTCGCACAACGTTTATTAGAAAATGTGCTGTCATTGCCAGGATTGAGAGTGACTCATATTTGTGGGTGACAGGCACAAAAGAAGAGCACAGAGGAAAAAATCTTCTCACTATAAGCTGATATCAAAATCAAACTTGAAGAAATTTCAAACACATCACTTGCTGCCTTTCATGTCAGAGTTTTAGACTAAAATCTTTTTGTTTTCAGAAATGACAGAGTTGCAAAATTACTTTGTGCTGTGAATGTCTTTTAGCTACTACCACATGTACACAACATTTTTTTCCTGAAAATGTCATTAAAACAGGCCCATGGTAACTGAGGTATTTTGCTAACACAGACAGACCTCACTCTAAAATGTTTGATGACCCAATTTTTATTGAAAGTCTTGCACAATCAGTTAGCACTCAGACTATACACTGGTGATCAGTCTGGGCTACTACCACGTCAAATTTCAGACCAATATTTGTAACTTTGACTGAATTATATACATTTTTGTGTTTTTAAAGGTCATTTGGCTGTGGCAGTCATCTTGAAATGGGTTAACTCCTAAAGGTAAACAGCTGTTGTCGTATGTCCAGTGATTGCCTTCTGGAAGTTTTAACAAAATTGATCATGTGGTTCACAAGATATTTTGCTAAAAGAAAGGCACGAACACACACTCAGACATTYTTGTGTGCCTTGCCCTAAGAGAAAAAGATAACCTGAAAAAACAAACTTATCTATGTACAAATACATGACCGAGAATTTGGTAAATGATTAGTAAATAGTTGTAGATTTTCCTTTTTTTAAACACATATTTACACGTTTTCAACTGAATCCGTTTTAGATGATTTTGAATAAAAATGTATAAATTTCACATCACCGCATCTGTACAGGATAAAATAAATCAAGTTGTCATCTCATCTTTTTCTGTGTAAAAACATCATCATCATCATTATCATCAGCCGTAGAACAATACTTCTGCTGAAAAGAATTATATCAARATTGTTCAAGAAACTAATGTGACGTTTTGAAGATGAAGAGTCACAGCTGCATTTCCACTGTGGGCTGTGGGGACTTGTTCCACAAAAACATCTTATGACTTTTAGACGACTCAAAACAGATTTTTCTTCAACTTTTTTTCTTTTTTAGAAAAGGTATGAAAACAAACTAATAACTTGTCCCATAATAAGAAAAATTTGATTTGACAAATAAAGTCGTTCACATAAAATAAAACAACAGAAGTCATAAAATAGTCAGTTTTTGACCAATGTTTTGTTTTTGCTGTGTTTTATTTCATCCTGCTCTATACACCACAGTCTTGCCTACAGGCCAAAGGTTTCTCCCCTCCGCTAACCTACACCTCGACTTGTGGCTTTTGATGTAATCATCCCCGAAACCAGAAGATACATGGGGAAATCATGTATGTATTCTGGTAAGCTCAAGCATACAGTAATAGAATCTCCACATGCAGTGAGTAAAAATCATTCAGAAACTATACCTTGTGTGATCAGTGACTAGACAATTAACAACATTTCCTGAAAAACATTAGTCATTAGAATATACAGACCCAAATACAGTAAACACAAAATTAAACGCTTGTGTTTATGAGGAGACATTTCAGCACAAGAAACTTCTCATTTCGTCTATTTCAGGGAACAAAGGGGTGATAATTTGGTCCGTTTTGCCACTTTTTCACACAAGTGCTTTAGATTTCAAATTTCAGAGTTGGGATGATTTATCTTTTTTTGCAGGAAGTCTGTAATCATTCCTTAGAACCCACATGCAGAGGAGTTGTGCAGAAACAGACGTAGAGTGTTCGAGGGCTACGCAAATAAGCCACTTTGCTTTCACATGCCGACGAAACTGAAACGTTTCACACAGCTGGCTAAAAATACTTTGTTTTCTTTCTTCTTTCTCTGTGTTTCTTTTTTTCTCTCTCTCTCTCTCTCTGGCTTTGTAGGGGGAGGAGAAGTGGGTTTGTCAGAAGGAGGGTCATCCGGGAACATGGCATGTGGAAACCCCTCCCAGACCGTWGGGAGGGGCAATTTTTTTAACCTCTCTGTATATAAGTGATCCAAGGATCCTGAGTTAAAATAGGTTTAGACACAGACATCCAGCTTTTCATTGTGGATCAGTCTTCTTTTTGTTGCCAAAGGGATACAGCATGTCCAAAATGCTTGACAGCATCATCCCAACGGTGAGTTAAAACAGGATTCCTCTTTTTTGTTTGTTTTTGTTCATAAAAAGTTTACTTTTCTGGGTGTTCGTTGTTGCTCTTTTGATTCCTCCGTGAGTCTCTTATTGGGGGCATACGTTATCTAACGTGCCTTTAGTCTCAAAGGGTTTCCTCGTTTTGTACACATAATGAGATAAGGGGGACAGAGGCACATTGTCTCTTTAAATCTAGTCTCTCATTAGTAAATAAGTGGTTTAATAAGTTCTTCTGATGACAAGAAGTGTAACAACTGTTTGTTTTGTAACTTTGTTGATGTGACTTTTTAGTAACTACTTCCATTATCTCTCACAGAACTTTCTGAACCACCTGACCCTGAATGACGATTTGCTTCAGTCCCAGCCACAGCTCAAAGCCCCTGGGCAGAGTCGGCTGAACCGCTCAGAGTCTTTCTTCTCTCCCCCCTCCCACCCKGCCGATTCAAGCCTCAGCTTGAGCTCTGAACACGTTAACAGCGATGACAACGGCAGCTCTATCTGGTCATCCAACAGCTCTATCTGGAGCCAGGGCCCCGTTTCCAARCAGAAACAGCTCCCCTTCCGGTCTGACCGCTCCATGAGCATGACTGAACCCAGCAGCAGCCTGCTCCCTTCCTTTGGACAGCTGAAGAACCTGGAGATGTTTAACCAGAGCTCTTCTACTACCGTGGCTCCCCCTCCAGGGTTTCCACCCTCATCGAACCTCCCGGCTCAGGTCCCCCCGATGCTGTCCTCTAACCGTTACAAGACTGAGCTGTGTCGGGGCTACCAGGAGACCGGCAGCTGCAAGTATGGCAATAAGTGTCAGTTTGCCCACGGCGAGGCAGAACTGCGCGGACTGTACCGCCACCCAAAGTACAAGACGGAGCCCTGCAGAACCTTCTACAATTTTGGCTACTGTCCCTATGGCTCACGSTGCCATTTCATCCATGAGGAGAAAATAAGTGGAGGTCCCTTAGGGTCTGGAAAATTCCAGCGGCAACCAGCCCCCACGTCAACCAGTGGTCACAATCCACGCCACCAGCTCCGACAAAGCCTCAGCTTTGCGGGGTTCATGGGCCCGTCACGCAGCTCATCTCCCCCGTCATTCGCTGCAGCCCCCAACGATTTAAACCTGGGATTCAGCCGTGCTTCATCTGTCTCCCCACCTCCCAATGACCTCCTCTCCCCTGTGTTTGGCGACTCCATGCAGCYGGAGGTATCGGCATTCCAGTTCAATAACCTCCAGACCCACGCCAGCAATGGAGACATTCCTTACATCTTGGAGCCAAAGCCTTCCCGCTGCGTGTGCGGCCATGGAAATAACTTTAGCAGCAACAAAGGCAGTGCGTTCACCAGCGTGGCAGACGGGCTGCACCCTGAGAATAATGTGCCTTTCCCCAATCCTGGGAGCAATGGAGGCTTTATTAAGCATGCCGGACTGCAACGTTTCTCTTCTGAGGACTCCCTGGAGGACAGCTACAGCAGCTGCAGCTCCAGCGGATCCGAGTCTCCAACATTTGACGGGTCCACCACCAAGAGGCTCACTGTGTTTGAACGTTTGTCGCTTTCTGACTAAATGGATCCAAAGAGGAAGGATGAAGAAAGGGGGGCCCTAAAGTCTCTTTCCCGTTTCTCGACTCTCTTCAAAACCAGAACTGTCCAGAACAAGTTGATGAAATGACACTTGTAAACATTTAACTGATCTTTTTACAAACTACACATACTAAGATGATTTAATACTCACTTGTTATCAGACTCTATTTTTATACTTAGAAAAACTTTTAGACTTTTGTATGTGATCTTCCATAAGAATTACCTCCTCTACAGGTCTTGACTTTAACCAGCACATATTCTGACTCCTATTTACCACAAATCGGTAGAGATCAAAACGGCCTATTTTTAGTGATAATCGTTGGTGCCTGTGCCTTAAAGATATTTCCTGCCATWTAGGCTAATCATTTTCTGTGCCACATACAGTATGTTTGATTCAGTAGCCTTAATCAGCGAGACCTGACATGTGTCTATGATATGCACTTTACAGCTAATTCAAATGGGGAGGAAGCCCCAGTAGCATTCAACCAAAGCTTAATCCTTCATTCTGTTCTGTGGATGTATGTGTGTGCCTGTTAAGTATGTGTGTAAGGGTGTTTGTGTCTTTTCTTGTTTTCCTTTTTTTTTAGACTTGGGGTGCAAGCAAATACTGCAAAATGCTGAAGGATCAGAAAAAAAAGTTTTTTTTTTTTTTTTTTTTTGCCTTTAGATCTCAAACTCTGTGTCCTGACAACCTTTAGGGTTTTTAGATTCTGTAAAATGTTCTGTTCTATTTGCTGGTTTGTAAAATTGCACCCCATTTGTTTGACAGCCTGGTTCAGGGAACACTGCAGTATTCCATTTGGTTATTGGTTGCCTTGTGTTGTTTAACTTAAACTAATATATTTATTATGATATTTATTTGTGTTTAAAGAAGAAAAATTTGTATTTTGTACTTTTATTTATGAATAAAAACATATTTCAAGTTCTGTGAAATAACAATGTGAGAAAAATGCAACAAAAAAGAAAATATATTTTTAATTGCCTGATAAAGACGAAATAAAATACTAAATAAATACGAAATTTTAACCTTTTGTTGGCTTGTTTTTTTTTCTGTTTAATGTTAGAAGCCTGATCGTCTTGCACATGAGGCTAAGAAGCGTAACATAGTCAAACATTGACCCAGATTGGGGGGGGGGGCGCACAGGTGTATTAATATTGGCACAGTTCCAATAAGTGTCCCAGACAGACATGAAAAAAAGCAGGACCTCCCTTTGTAGGAATGTGGCCATTGTGTGCTTTTTGCTTCAGTGAGAAGTCAAAACCAGTACAGGAAAAAAATGGGGTTTAATGTTGAGAGAGGAAATATGAGGTAACTAAAGGAGGAGGAAATAAGTGCAGAAAAATAAATTCCTAAATTCTTAATAAAAATCCATATTTCTTTTAGGTTGATGGTAGAAATATTTAATTTTGCATTTCTGAAATTGTGGAATCAAAATGTTATTTTCTCTAAATGAAGACAATATTCTATCTAGATAACTATTTTATCGTTTTTGATTAATTTCCACTGAAAACATTTAATGTGTTTATTTGATAGTAATGCAAGAGCTGACAAACTTCATTTAGCATAATTAAAAGAAGAGAAAACAATCACCACATTTAGAGCTTTGTTTGTGTTTCTATCTCAGCTGAGTTTGGTGGCACACAGTGACTCTGTTTTTAGACACAACAGATTATTGCACACATCAAGGCAAACCCTGTGAAATGTTGGATACAGGAAACACCAAACATGCTCACAAAGTCCACCTAAAAAAATAAAATTATGTGTGCATTCCAATTTTTTTTACGTTTTTGTTCAAATTTAATAACTAAACAACCAGGAGATCAACAAACAAATCAGATAATTAATCATATTCATATTATATACATATATATATACTCAACATATATATACATTATCATAATATAATAATCATATTACTAGACAAAAGAAATGTGCATTTTAAATCAAAGCCCATTTCATCCTTTCCCCATTATTTCTAACCTGACTTTTTTAATGCACATTCATACTGAAGTAAGGGGTGTCTGGATCTGGTTTGTGTCATAAACAAAAGAAAAAAGGCAAGGTTTTCAAAAGATTTTTGGGGCGCACATTTCAAATGGATGAAATATGTATTTTAAAAAACTAAATTATTAAATGTAAGCCTTTTTTCTGTTAGAAATATTTAACTGACACAAAACTATTGTAATGTTTATTGTGATGTTTACTGCTGTATTATGTTTGGCATTATTGTTGTTCATGCTGGTCACATGTGTCCGTTGACACTTTTGGTCACTTTGTACTCACTTTCGAAGGTACAAAAAGGAGTGACCATAGAAAAGCTCCATAGCAATGGAGCTTTTCATTTATGTCTTGAAGTCCTTTTGTGCCCACTTTGACAACCCCTGATCTATTTTTCTCAAGTCTCCTTTTGTTATAATTTGGTTATAATTAAACCTAAGATCATTGAGTAAGGACCATAACTTAAAAATGTATTAAAAGTTACCATCAAACCAGATATGAGATTTTGGTAATGGGAGAACAGTGGTTAGAGCTGTTTCCTCCCAGTGGGAAGTAGAAAGTGCAGCCCTGGTTAGAGCCTTTCTATTTAAAGTTTATAAGCTCTCTTCCTGTGTGCGCCCTGGGTTTTATCTGGGTACTCCAGCTTTCTCCCACAAGCCAAAAACATGCCTGTTGGGTTTTTTGGCAACTAAATTGTCAGTAAGAGGGTCAAAAGTTGCCTTTTTCGCTTGTTTCTATGTGGTTCTGTGATGCTTTGGCATTTGGTCAAGGGAAGAACCCCACCTCTCGCCAAGGACAATTAAAAATAGGCACCAGCTTCCCTGCAACCCTGCACAAAAAGACGTTAAAGGAAACAGATGAACAAATGGATTGCAGAGCCAAAATGACAGCCAGCAGCATTTGTTTTAAAGAGGTGTGACGGCCCTGCTGCTTAGTTAATTGCAGCCAGCTGCCACCAGTTTCCTTAATTGTGCTTCCTCACAGGTATGCAAAATACACTTTTTAGCCTTTAAATACATTTTATTGTGTACTTGGAGTGTCCAGAAAGTTTTACTTTAGTTCTTCATAGATACCTTTACATTCTGTTTGGGTCATATTTTTCAACCTGTTCAGTTTACTCCAAACTTTATTAAATTTTCGGAACTATTATGGCAAATTATTTGTAACAGAACATCTCCAACATGTAAGGCTGATATCAAGCTAGAATTTACCACGCTTTGTTTGCATTTAAAGAGACAGCGTCAAAATGAGTTGCTCCCAGGCACCTCAGAAAATGGTTGAGAAATGGGGCTTGTGGAGTTACAATAAGGAGGAATTCAGACCAAAGCATTACAGTTCCACTTTATACGTATAGACCCCAAATAAATTATTTAAATGTGAAAAAGAAGTATTTAAAAGCACATGTCTCCTTTAAGTTTGTYTAAGGTTTGTAATTTGAATAAGACATAGCTGACTGAGTAAATGAATTGATGAACAGATTATGGAAAATACATGAAATGGTATGATGTGAGGGTAATGACATGACCAAAATATGACCTGAGCTCATAGGAACAACTGTACCGGTAGGGGTGAAGGCAATGCTGGAAAACAGGACTTGACAGGTTAGAAAATCTAGTAACTAAAAGAAAGGCGTGTGCCTCTCGTAATTATAAAATGCAGTTTTGTGATTTAGGAAAACAAATCTAAAACAGTGAAAAGTCTGTGCTCTTAATTGGGTGCTTCCCAGTTAAAGGCAGATTAAACCAGCTCTTGTGACTGAGTTRGTCAGAAACAATGAAAGGCAAAAGAAACTATAACTCTAACATGAGGTTGTCATTTTAACAAACTTACAACCCATGACAAAACTCTATAAAACAAGATCATTTTCACAGTCCTAAAAATTACTCAAAATGTGTTTTTGCTAAATCTTACAACATATAAGGAAAGTAACAGAATTACACAACGTGCCGTTTTTCCAAGTATAATGTCAGCAGCTGTCATTTCCAGCTTCCAACCCGTTTGATTGATATCTTCTGCTTTGTGAGCTGAGTGTTCTTGGGATTGTGTAAGACATATTTAGATGTAAAGCAGAAAAACTCCCTGTTGCAATTTCCACCTCATAGTCTCTGTAAGATTGTCATGTTGTGCAACTATCATGCCACTAAAACCACTCTCATACACTTTAGGAAGTGGATACCATGAAGTAAGGCTGCAATCTAAAAAAAATTGGTTTAAAAAGTCTAAAAAGCTGTGATAGCAAGATTTTTACATTGGTAAGAGGTGCTGTGAGCAATTACAGCTGGGTTGTGTACATTCTTGACCTATATTTGATCACTTCTATACTGTGGAGTTTGGAGACATTAAAATGGCGTTTGACGTTTCTGTCTGTGGATGATGTTTGGAGTGAGATTTCTAAAGAAAGAAAAAAAAATGTGTGGGATCCTTTTCTTCCAGACCCACAGAGACGAGAACTGTGGCTGCTTTCCTGTAAACCTTTTTAAAGCCCATTACGCCACCTTTTTCTGTGAAAAAGTAAGATTATGAGAAAAATCTGATTTGTTTCAGCTGTTCGGTTTTAGTGGGCTTGTCATGGTCTGAGTTTATTTTGATTTGTTCATCCTAGTGTTTCAGTGTTCCCTTGTGTTTCCTCTGTGCAGCTGCCCCACCTCTGCACACCTGATTGTCCTTGTGTTCCTCCCAGGTGTTTCTAGTTAGCCCTCATTAGTTTACCTTTATATTCAGTGTGCTGTCTTCAGTCCTTTGTCTGATCACTGTACTGTGTTGTCAGTCTGTTTGGTCCCTAAGAGTTTTGAAGTCCTAAGTTATGCTACATGAATGTAAGTGTTTTTGAGCTGCTTGTCAGCCTCTTTTTGTTATTAAAACCTTTTTTTAGTGCTTTGAGTGTCTGTGCCCTGGGTTACCTTTTGAAGTCTGGATCGTGTAAGGGCTTTGCATGCAGTGAGAAAACATGCCAATTTTAACCATGGTATTAATGATAATAATGTGTTTTTGCTTTTCCTTTCAGTTCAGTTCATTGTTTGTATGTCTGACTGTCAGCAGAATATCTCCTGAACCACTGAACAGATTTTATTTAAACTCAAGAAGTAATCGTTTGATGTACATCTGCAACGGATTGATGTTTGGAATCAAGATGGCTACTGCAGTTCAACACAAAAACAACRATGACCCAGTCACTTTTATAGACAATAAGATAAAATCGGGTGTGGTTGTAGCTGAGACTTGTGCTCAACTTTTACTCCAAGCGCATGCAATATTAGTCTAAAATTCTGGCGTGCAGGATGACTGACGACATGCATTCCTTCAAACAATGCTAGCAATTTGTTAGAATTCGTGGTGCTGCGTTTACTGTGAAATACGGTGTGCAAACTGAGGCTATGACTAGTTAAAAACAATAAAACCACCAACCTAAGATGCATATGCAAAACTTTTGTTACCTTTTACTTGCTAAGCATTTTATAAATTTAATTTATACTATAGATGTGAATACATGAGCCACAGTCTTGACAAGATTTGTTGACAGTAAGCACTTGATTGGAACTGGATACTGAATAAGCTTCAGTTCTACAGTCACCACTGCACAGTTTATTTAAAACCTTGTTTCCTTTTTTTTGACCAATAGCAGGATGTGTCACCATGGTGATGAACAATGACCACATAGACTAAACAGCAAAGCTTGAAAGAAGAAACTGGCACACATTTGTTTGTTCACAAACATTAACTACCCAACCTGTTCGTGAAAGCGGGTGCATAAAATGTTGCCAAACTGCAAAAGGAAAAAAAAACCTCCTGCAGATCAAAACGGACAAATATTTGTGTACATGAACAAAATCAGTATTTTTGTGTAAATCACACAACGTTTTGTTCTCAAAGATTGCTTCCTAGAAGGATTTTACCAGTGGATCTAATTGCTTTGGTGGTTTTTTTCCATATCACATCTTGTTCTGTCATTTTTTTTAACTGTTGCCACCCCCACCCCCTCCGTGACACTGTTAATGAGCAACCACAAAGCCGCTTCTGTTAAAATGGTCTTTACCCAAGTCACCTGATCCTGAGCACTGTATGCACGCACACACACATACACATCCAACGTTGAAAACCAGGGAGGCCTATTAAAGCAGCAACACATTATGCGGTCCAAAGGTAAGACAGATACTGTTAGAGATACTGTTATCTCTAACTGCTTTACCAGAAAATAGAAAAGACATGAAAGACGTTTGTGCCCTTTATACTGAAACTGAACGTTTAAAAGGCAGAGAGCAGAACAAAGAAAGAACATCTAAGTTGTGAAGGTTTTGCGTTTTTTCATGTTAAAGGTTGAAAAAAATAATTTTAGTCAGCGGCTTTGCTGCTATTCAGTTCCAGGTTGGAAACCAGTAACTGTGTGTGTGTGTGTGTGTGTGTGTGTGTGTGTGTGTGTGT